GTAGGGACATAGACAGCCGGGTTGGAGGCAGAGTAGTACGCTTAATGAATTTGCGTCTGAGCAGGATTGTAAGTAAGAATTTCATTGTACAGGGAAGCATGTTTTGTCACTGTGAATATGGCAATAAACACTTGACTATACTGTATGACAGGAGGGTTTCAGTAGAGACATGGTCCACTACTAAGGCAACCAAAACCAATAATCCTGGTACAGGTGGGTACAGGATGGTTCCTATGGAATGGCACTTTAAAAGCTGCAAATCAAATAGTCTGCTCCAGCATTTCCTTATTGAATTACTCAAAATTTAAATGAACTTATTTTATATGGCAAATGTATAAATGTAATCTGTAGTCTAAGTTGCAGATACAGCTGTCACTATTCCCATATGGAAGAAAGCAGAGTAAAAATTATGGTGTCTGACAAAACAGAGGCACTCAAGTATATTTTGTGGATCTTAAAGGTATACTGTACTTAGACACAGTACTTGAGTAACTTTATTCAGTAAACTTCCACCCCGTATCTCAACTGAGCCCTCAGACATAGTTGTAGTTGTGGATCAGAGCTGTACACAAATACAGTTAACATGGCAATGTTCCTCAACTACTTTATAGCAAGTAATGTTTATGTGGTGGCATTTAAACCTCTTACAATATGTTACAATATGGTCTCGATATGAGAGACATTTGTATGCCTTGTATTTTTACAAAGGGAATCAGCCATAGTACATAGAGCAGGCCTGACCAAGCAGCTTCTCTGGCACTGGAGAGAGACTGTGAACTTGGGATGTTTGCAAAGAGAAGTTCACTCAAATTAATCATTCTGTCAGACAATGAGAGCAGAGCACCCCAGGGCTAAAAGGGAGACAAGGCCTTTCAGCAAGAAGAAGAATACCCTGTGCTGCTGTATATGTTTTGGGCTTGTTATTCATTTTTACAAAAGGGGTGCTGGGGATGGTAGGTTATGTAGTGGTGTGCTCTTGCCGGGGAATATATCTATCGTTTCGGGTAGCCATTTCCCTTAAGAGGGGATAAATGGATGTAGCTGAAGGTGAGGACAATGCAGGAACATCACATTTAGAAGCTTATTCATCAAGTTCATAGGTGGTGTCAGGCCTCTGCCAAATGTTGCATTTTCACAGCACCCTCAAAAAGGAACTGTTACTGGCCTTGCAGGATCCCAATACTCATCATACTTCACATCTAATTTTTGTCTCCATTTTTCTTCTCCTGAGAAAATGTGTTAAGGTATTTGAGATGGTTAGACTTGAGAGGGGTTCCTGATTGTCATTAGGAAATTAAGCAACAGACATAAAGATTCAGTTATTAATAATTCATATCCTTATTTTCTGCCTCTCTGTTGCCACTGCTGCCAGAAGCACAGGGAGGCCGTCTTGGATGCCAGGTCCCACATAATACACGTGTTGAAGCTCTCTGTTGTCCTGTCATTTCTGAATTAAACATGACAGTTATGTAATCCACACCTACATTTCTCTCTCCTCTATCCATTCAGCCCAACCAGTAGAAGGCCACCCACCAGGAGTCGGGGTCTGTCAGAGGTTTTTTCCATTAAAGGGAGTTTTTCCTCCCCATGCTTGTTCAAGGGTGATTTGTTGGGTTTTCCTCATAATAGCGTAAGGTCTAGACCGAATTATGTGAAGTGCCCTGAGACAATAGTTGTTGTGAATTGGCACTATACAAATAAATTGAATTGATATACTTAAATGCAAGAAATACTACCAGATCATGTTTTCTATAATAATGACATGCTGATAATTTACATATTTGGCAAGTTGTATCTTCATGTATCATGAAGTATTCTGACAAAATATTAGTACAATAAAATATCAGCTTTTAGTGACTGCGGCATTATTACACTTTATTACAAATTATTAGGCACTCACAGCACTTGGTTAAGGCTAAGGAATGATTGTGGTCTGGTGCAGAAAATGTTCATAGTGAATTTAGACACAGCCTGTTTATCAGCATTTAACCAAAACCTGTCTTTATCTAAGATTAACCATAGTGCCATTGTTGCCTACATCCTATACAGCACTCTGTGTGAGAACCCTGTTCTCTGGTTTGACAGTCACTTTAGGCTCCTGTCATTCCACACCACTTAGCAGGCATTCAGACTGATCTGGTTTTTTCAAACCTTTGAAAATTTGAGCACAGCCTTACCCTCCGAGCGACTCTAATGCAGTTCATAAATGTGGTTCTTCATTCATTCAAAAAGTATCATACAGCCAGAAATTATTTTGGCACCAAAATACAATTTGGTGGTGAACAAAATGCATAGGTTGGAAGGTGACAGTGTCCCCACCATTCTTCATTTTGGAACGTGTATTGTATCACATAGTCGCACCATGTTGGTCACTTCAAATCTGTGCAATGCACACAAACTTCTGCCCTTCACTGGGGATGACAGCTATGCCCCTTCTTACCCATCTTCTATGGTTTTTCCTTCCCCTTTTTCATGCATTAGATACACCTTTTCTGCTGTGCCTTTTATGTTATCTTCTTCTCATGTCTCAATTTATTTCTGATACACTCAGCCAAATCTTCACCTCTCCCCTTCTCTCTCACATTTTTTTTTATTTAACCCCCTGCTTCCCCCCCATCCATGCCTGTGGCTGCAGACATATAGAAACATGTCTCAGTTACCGGGGTTATTCAGATACCTTCTGGATGTGCTTGTGAACACAGTGGGAGCAGTCATAGTGATATATGGTTGTAATCCCACTGCTGCAACGTGACACGGCTATCAGTTGCCATGGGAGATGAGATGATTTATATTCTGCAGCTCTGGTTATGGCTGACTATAAGTGATGTTAATGTTAAAGGCCTGATTCTGTATTCTTATGCAAAACTGGAAAGGTCCTGCCACTGATTCCAACAATAAAAACAGTTTATTCACTAAGGTTTTAAAAATTGTTGGCTGTAATAAAACATTTTATATCTAAAGACAAGGGGTTGAGATTATTTATTCACTCCAAGTTATGTTCCTTATGAATCTGTGCTGTGCACGATCACTTTATGCTTTATTTGCAAATGATTTGTTCATAAAAGCTGAATGGTGCATTAACACTATAACATGTCTTAGAACAGCAGCAGGTCTTTCTCACCGTGGTGTATGATCAGTGTTTTCCTCTTCCTCATGTGTCCCATTGATGTTTCACGCACATGTATATTGTGCATTGTTACTGACTATTTGTTGCTATGGATATGAAGACGTTGGAGCGAGACGCATGCATAACATTTGATCAACCGAGCATTGCTTCAAAATGAAAAACAGTCAGACATGGATGACTTCTAAAGGCATTATTGATTTCAGCAGATAAATGATTGGTAAATTAGATATAGCAGTATACAATAGATAAAATACTGAGCTGTAAAGGAATGCAACATGAAAAACATGCTGGCAGTATATTACCTCTGGCTTCACTGACAGAATACACAGATTTACAGTGACTGAGAAACTGAACTACAGCTAAATTCCAGTTTGGATTATGACTTGTCATGTTGAAACAGGTTCCTATGATGGAAAAACCCCAATAGCTGCTAAATGTTCCACTATGTTCACCATCTAGTTGCTAACCTTGCCTAGCTGATGCAGGGTCCTGAGTGGGTAGATTATTGTCCAGAACAACAGCACTGAGATTCCACTAAGAGTAAAGTTGTGGTCTGGACAGATAAACAATGAGCTGAAACCCACTGTAAAAAGTCGTAGAGCCAAGTGTAGCTGCAGATTCAGGTAAACATTCTCTGTAGGTTTGCCATGACTAGAGACCCCTTTCACATTATCAGACTGTTTCAATGTTGTTATTTCATCTAATGTTATTTTTCACAAGTTGCTCAAAACTTGGCAGATCCCAATTCTGAACCTTTAAATTGATAAGCTTAAAATATTGACAGGATATGTATGGAAATGTAACAGGAGACTTCCACTCCTGACATGTCAAATGACATTATGCAGACTGATCATTTAACTAGAAAAGGTTTGATTTTACAATTGATCATTTTCTGATTGTGTTCTCAACCTCACTTCAATAAATAATAAAGTGAAAATAATAATTAAATGGACTTTATTGACAAAAGCTGTTGTGTCTGATTGAGTACAAGTTATTGATAGTTTAATCATTCTTAATTATTCCATAATAATGCCCCTGTCATTGTTAAGGGGGATGTTTTCCACTTGAAACAAACTGAATATTCTGAATCATAGATTATTGTCCTGTCATTAAGTGGTTTTAAATTAAATGTGTTGTTGCACAACTAGCCCCCTTTTTGATCAGTCCATGCTTTTTGTGATCCAGGCAGATAACTGTTCAGATTCATCATTAAATAATGATGAGTTACTAAAAATCACAAATATATTTCACTTTAGTTTTACTATTGTCCAAATTCAATATTCATCATAAATATATTTGATGCATTTTGTGCATCATGTGAATTTGATCATTTTCGTTGGCATTCGGAAACCTGGTGCTACAAAGAGAGGACATTTCAGAAATTCATGAAAATTGGTTTATTCATGCTTAATATTAATGTGATGTTTTTTCAAATCAGGTGTTGGCCTCTGCTTTCATCTAACACTGAACACCTCAGCCTTCCTCCCACTATATAATTATTTCTGAATAGATTTAATGTTAATGCAGCCATTAGTTTTCCTGGTGGAGAGTAGCAGATCTGGCTTCACTTTGATCTAACACCAGAGTTTTTACTTGCTCCTTTCTCCTGTCATCTAATATAATATTAATAATTATTAAATGTTCTTCATGATTCTTCAGGTAAAGTAAACAAGAAAAAGATGCAGGGCCAGCTTTTGATCTGCTGCAAGACTGCAATCTCCCCTGCACTTGGAGGACTAAATATATATTAATATTAAAGTCTTTCTGTAGGGTTTTACGGGTGTGGTGTAGAACTACCTTGAGCCATACTTTAATTTCCACTAAGAACTGTGTCAGTATTATTAAATGTGTGTTTTTGTGTGTGTTAATGCAGGCATGGTGAACTACAGCGAGGTGTCTGGCTACCCCTTGGTTCAGCACTGGAGTCTTCGCTCTGTGCTGTATCACGTCAAACTCAATCAGTGGGTCCTCTCTCAAGGTAAATCACCCTGCACTTCTGGCAGTTCATTAGATATATCATTTGTTATTATTAATTATTTATTTATGCTGGAGAAGACCATGCGCTAGTCTCTGTGACATAAATTCTCATAAACAAAAGAAGGGCAAAAAAACTGCATTGTCGGCCATCAATTATTTATCACATTTTAAGTAATATGACACATCAAGGTTAGCAACTCATCATGCACCTTGGATACTTTGTTTAATTTTCATTTTTGATCAGCTATGTGATTAATAATAGGCATACTTACATCTCCTGATTATCATATTCTCGTTTATGTGATTAATAATAGGCATACTTACAGTACATCTCCCGATTATCATATTCTCGTAGTCTTTGGTGCTTAAAGATACTGTAGTGACATCTTTACTCATTTTCGATGTCAAACTTTGTTTAAAAGCTTAAGATATGTTGAACTGTTGAAGAAAATAAACTGTAACAGAAAAATGTATATACAGAAGACTGCCTGCAGAAAAACACAAGTTTCTAAATGTATTCTTGTCAGCAGCAGAAGTATATTTATGATAATGAAATTCTTGAACATATAAAGACTATCACTGCAGGGCGCATTGCTGGCAATTTTGTAATGTAGTGCCAAAAGGTTCACGTTGGGTGCAATATATCAAATTAAACCTTGTTGGAACAGTCTATTATGAATCGCTTGTGATAGTGCTGTTCAGCTGAATTGCTCGTAGAGAACCCTGAAAGGCAATAAATGGGTGAGAGTGAACTTCCCTTTAATCTCAAATTATCAAAATGTCACATCAAAAGGGCAAAAACTTAAAAAAAAAGATGCTCAACAAGTACAAGTAAACAAGATGGGCACAGTTGTAACACAGTGTCCACTGACTACAGCTGTCCTGTTAATCGTCTGTTACCTCAAAATATTGTCTACATCCAGTAGTATCCAAAGCCACTCTTTCAGTTGTTGTGGTCCATATGAAAACTTATTGAAAAAGGAAGCATTAACATGTTTTTCTCCCTCTCAACAACAGGAAAGGGGCTCTGGATAGTAAAGGTTTTTAGCAGTTCTCATAAAAAGGTGTTTTTCCAGGTAGCACCCAAACTCAAGGCCTCATAATAAATAGGGTGCTAAAGTTAAGTTATTGCTTCACAGCGAGAGCAAATAAGAACACTGTCGTAACAGCCAATGCCAGAAGGAATAGATGGTTCCTTTAGTTAATGTGATAGAGCGAGAGGCCTTCAACAGATTGATAGGTTTATAGGCATTATTTCATCATACTTAGTATCATTCGCAGCTTCCAAAGCAGGAGCAGAAATCAGCCTTGGCTGCCTTTTTAAGAGCTTCGTATTTCCTACTGAGATTCCTTATGCCCAGAACTTTTCAAATATGAGATGAGCAGCTCACGTGTGTGTCCCATTTCATGAAAATCCATTCATTAGGTGCTGAGATATTTCATAAGATATGTAAAAAGTGTGACCTGCAGGGTAGTCATTTGGAAAAATCAGGGGATCATTAAAGCCATTACTATACATTCGCAGGTATCATGAAATCTTTGTACCCAATTATATGCCAATTAATCTTCCCTGTGGGGATAACAATCCATGGAGAACCAGTTCCTCGTTATGTCTGCTGGGATATTATGTAAGCGAAGAAACTCACGTGAAATGCTTCCCTTGTAACAAACACCTATCTTGAGAAGATCACACCGACTGTAGCACTTGTTCGCCAAAGTACGCTGTTCAAACACAAACAGACATACAAGGCACCAATAAGGAAAGCACCAAGCCACTGCAACTGCAGGGGCAGTGGCCGGAAAGGGATGCCCTTACAGTCTGCTGCTTTCTTGATGATCTCCAGCAGGTCATGAATCAGACTCCCGAATGCCGGAGGTTAACCGGCGGTAGGGGCGTGCTGCTCGGCCAGAGCAAGCTCGTCCCCACCGGTGCCCATGTCAAGCAGAGGATCTCGGGGAGAACTGGGCAATGCCTACACAAAATAGAATGATGATCCATCTGGCTGTTTGTCTGTAATCCTGCTAACCAACCAACAAATAAACAAACACACAGAACCAAAAACAACATTGTTGATGGAAGTAACTAAAGGATGCCAACCTCCTAGTGATGTTAGAGGAATAGAGATGATCAGAGGTACTGTAATTAGTTCTCTGGGAGCCATGGATGGCAGTTTATACAATAGTTGATCAAATGCATCAGCCTGGGCCAAAGTCATGGATGATGCCATCTAGCCATACTGGCTAAAAGGGTTTACTA